TTTATCTCCCCTGGGGTCTTTCTGATGTACACATAGTGTAGTATCTAATATGTCAGCTAGTATTTAAAAAATCATTAACAATTCTAATATTTTACCAAAAATCTGTAGGGCCTCAAAAAATGGGCCTTTTTGGGCATATATTGGCCATTTGTAGGCCATATTAGTTGAAAATGGGCCATAAATTTTCAAAATTTATTTTCAAATTATTTTCTAAAAATAAACATTTTTTCCTATTACTCAAAATTTGCCCCAGATAAGATCATAAAATGCTTCATCTTACTTTGATTGACGTAATCTGTCTTCCTTTTTGAAGGATGTAATGAGGAGCTCCATCCTTTCACAGATTGTTCTTATCTTGTCCACATGAAGATCCTTGCAAACATTGAGGTGGACAGCCTCCCAATTGGGAGGATACTGCCATGGATTCTTTGCCAAGCAAGATCGAACGAGGTTGGCATCATCTTTCAGTCTGAAGTACACACATTTTTTTGATGTCTTGGTCTTGAGACAACATATTTTCCTGTCTGTGCTCTTATGATTGAATCTAAGAGGCTCATTGTGCTGTTTATAAGTATGATTTTATTGCCACTCACTCACAATCAAATTAGTTGACCAAATAGCCTGTTTTCACTCCTCAAAATTAGCATGATATACACTAAAGATAATGTAGGTCACTAGAATGTAACATTGTGCAAAACATGTATACTGTAATTATTGCAATACCATTCAACACAGTGTAAAATGAATTTACAAATTCATTTACAAAAATTCATTTACAACTCATATTGTGAAACACAATTTACTTGTTAATACAGTGATACTTTCAGAACGATAAACAATGTTATTGAATGATAAAATGGGATACGTAAATAACAACCTACACAAGCTTCATTTTTCGTGTTTTCCATATCGCTCTACGTATCAAATGAACTGACTACGCAAATATCTGGTGAGAATATGTTACGGATATGTTGACTTAAAAATCCATTTGCAAAACCTCTCTAATGTCTAAGAATTCAGTGACTAGTGTTCCCCTTTTCAACTCATAATTAATTGGTGCTAGACACTTTACAGTAAATAAGACTATTTTTCTTCAAAAATATTTTGAAAGTGACAAATGTATTTTTTAAATAAACATTCTAAAAGGATACATTTGTTCTTGTACTGAAAATCTTTATTCAGCCATACACTTTGAGCTGCTTGATCAATGACTCCATATGATGTGTTATTAAAAGAAATCCAAGACTTTAATACATCATTATGAAATTGTGGAACACTTTTATGAATATATTTTTTAACATTCCTAAATGTCATTTGGACTTTATTTCAGCCAAAAGTTTAACTGTCCTTTAATTAAACTTGGCAGACGTAACTTTTTAGACATGCTTATGAACAGCCAAAATAGAATTGGAGTATGAATACAATATCAAGTCATTCGGGAATCGAACCCAACCCAAGGAATGATAAGTTCCAAGGTGTAAACCTACACAACTTGTAGGATATTTGTATTATCACATCACATTATTTTTTGACCTTTTTTAACAAACTTGCCCTTTCCTTTTACAAAGACTTGGGACCTTAAACTATGTAGCATTACAAGTTGGTTAGTGTTTCGTAAACTTGGAGCTAATGTAAAACATACAACCTCAAATGCAGATTTAAACTCGGAATGCGTAATTACTTTCTTTAACAGACCCGTTGCATCTAGAATCGTCTTTGTATTCCACCCAGGTTCTGCTATAATTTCTGACAGACACAAATGAATTGGCTCATATAATTCTTCAAATGTTTCAATAGTATGAAATTTTTCCACACATCTTGTTTGCTTTAAAACTTAAGGTAATTTGTGAGACATACATTTTTCACCATTCTCTCTACGTCTTGCATTTACCTCTGCAATTTTAGAATCTAGCTTCCTGCTTCATTTCAGGGAATAACTGAAAAAATTCCCATTTGTTTCACAGTGTCTAACATAATTTTGATTCCATGAATTTCGCAACTTTTACCAATTGCTAAATTCGTAAGAATTCTTCCTGGGATGTATTGGATATATTATGACGCATTTTTGCACATTTTATCAAAGCCAATAGATTTCCTTGGTTTGATGGAGAGTGGGATTGACAATTATTGGATATATCTGTGTCTTCTCTATGACCTCGGAGAGGGCCCCCACAAAATTCAATACATTTTAGTATGGAAACTAAACATTTTCAGTTGGCTTGAACACGTGCTTGGTGGATATTAGTCATCGCCATGTCTATCCCAGTAATAGGGTTTGTCCTAGTTCTGATGAAATTGTTGAGCCTTTCAAATGAAGTCAAATGGTACTGGTGCTTTCCATGACAACTAATATGTTCTAAAGCCTTTTTCCAATTGGTGAATGGAGTTTTTATTATGAATAAATTCGACCGGCGATGACTTGACGTATCAGGGAACAAAACACAGGGTAAGCAGTACAGCCCGTCTTTTGCTACAGAGTAAGACAAAAACAGATAATTTTAAACCCAATCTCTTTGGCAACTGCTTTCTATTACCTAAAGCCTTCCTGCTGTCCTTATACTTTTTGGTGGGTACTTAAAAATCAATTCAGTCACCCGATGATTATAGAGAAAATATTTTATATTATCTTTAGGTACTTCATGAACGTGATTAGATATCATACTCCCATAGACCAGTCGATGTATCATCTTGGGAGGCGTTGATGAATCTTGACCTTCATCTGGGGGAGGCGTTGATGAATCTCGATCTTCATCTGGGGGAGATGAATCTCAATCTTCATCTGGGGGAGGCGTTGAATCTCGATATTTCTTTAATTATGTCATTCTGTTGATTTAAAAATTTTATGCCAATTGTACTTTGCAAATTTTCGTTTCTATACCACAGCTCTTTATTTTCAATCATTTAATTTCACAGCTTTGTGACTTCTCTAAATTAGTGCTTTTTCTCATTGAAGCTGGCAATATTCTAAAGAAATTCCCTGAATAAGTGACCATACTGTGGTGGGAGTTACGTTGATTCAAATAATTTTCACCAGTATGGAATAAATTGATCAAAATAATAAATACTGGAGAATAAATTGGGCCGAGCGGAAACCCCTTTAACTCATTCGCGCGCTCAGTCGACTTTTTTCGCCAATTCGCTTCATGGCGTATGTCGACTTCAGGTCGACAAGCTATAGGGAAGTTTTAACAGACTTAGAAAGATGTCACCCTAGTATTGCAGTGCCAATGTTGGGTACTCACATTGACAGGAAGTGATTTAAAATTAATTTGGCGAAGAGAAATGATTGAAAAAATTATTTTGGTCACTTATTGCTTTATTTCGAAATAAATACGAATCTGGAAGTGATCAGACATTGTGGTATTTAAAAAGCGCTCGATTTAGACTGGGTAATGATGATCAAATCGCTGCTATATTTAAGCGATTCTTGTAGTGAAGCCTAATATTTGAAGCCTCAGAAAATGAAATTTCAAAACGATGATGGGCCTGACAACTCTGTGGCTGGGGGACAGGCCAGGGAAGTTGCTGGGGTACACCAAGGTAATATTTAGTAGGGTTCTTATGTGTTTTTTGTAATGTACATGTTTAGGATTTTGTATCATCAGTGCCTTTCATTGTGATGAGTTCATACATTAAAATATGATTTATACATATGTTTCTAATCATGAGTAAAAATTTGGTGGTGTTATCTCTGTTGGTTTAGATTTTATGTCACTTTCAGATTGGCAGGCATGAAAATCCTCATCCTAAATAAATTAATTAACGCTCAGTAGCTTTTAAAAATAATTAAATAGCGCGCCAATGAGTTAACAATCAATGGCACTGGAAAGATGATGTGTGGATATGTCTTGTGCGTGAAAGGAATTTGTATCTAATTGACCTCATGGATATTGTAATTTTTTACTGTATCAAGAATAACTGAACAAAATATTTCAGCTTAATTTAATAACAATAAAACAATAAACTTTATTTACCTTGCTGACATGACAATGCAGAATCCAAATTAGCGTATAATCAAATTATAAATCCAGTAATAAATCCAGTTATATGATTAAATCCACTTGTATGATCAAATGATTGTAATAATCCAAACACTGAGAAATGCTCGCACAATACTTAACTCAAGACTTTATAAAAATACAGAATTATTCACATCTAACACCTTTCAGATACAAACTTGAGACTATCAATTTGTAAAAATTCAACCTCCTATCTCTTCAGATGCAAACTCGGGACTGACTTTCCCAGGAAAGCGTTCACAAATATTACGATCAGTCAAGAAATATGCAAATTAAGTGGGTGGAGACCAGCCCAAAGCTGTCAACTTGTCAAATTTCAAAGTGACCCATACAGGATCTAAATTAATTATTGATCACTATTTGAAGCTGGAAAACTATAACGGCAATGCCGACAAAAACATAAAATGATTTCAGTTTACACATGTTTTTTAACTTATCATTACTCAATAAATACTTATCAAATTTACACGAGATGAAAACCATTAAAAAGAAGACAATCTGCTTTTTTAACGCATATAAATGTTATATTAAAAGTAAAATGTATCAATGTGTAATCAATGAACGAATATAAATGAATAATAAAAATTGTGCTCCCGGTACAATACCTTTCCTTTCGTTCTAAGATTGTGGCTTCATCTTTAGCCATTTTGTGAGATCAACAATTGAATGAAAACATCCAGTGAAATAAATTCTCAAGAATAGCCTCAGAATTTTGCAAATTATAGAACTATGGAATCATAGAACTATTGGAATTTTGTGGCTATTACATTTCCTAATGTTAAAAATAAAAAAAATGGTACTATGTTACTAGGAGTATACAGTAAATTAATTCCTATGATTTGTCTCTTAATATTGCTAAACATACTCAGTTTTGCATGATTATTGAGTTCAAATTCACTACTGGCATATTTCAAATGTTCAGTATGCAAAATACACCATCACACTGAATTGATCTCATTTTACTGTACATATTCATCCACCTGGCAAACTGATCACAATATAAGGGTGCGATAGAAATGTTCATTAGGCTTATATCACTAAATCAGGGTGCAGTTTTCCCCAGTGTGTTATACTTACATTCTTATCAAGTAGAAATAGAAACCTATGTCATTTTTCACTTGATATGAAAAAGCATAATTAGTACATGTACCAACCAAAAATGCATGAGGTCTAATTCCAAAACACATATTAAATCTAATAAGGAATGATACAGGTTTTTATTCAAAGATAATTATGTTTATAACATTTTCTTAAGTTTATTCTCCTTGATTATTATGTTTTTTCTTTCACCCTTGTCCCAAGTTAATTCCTGCCTAAACTGACCCTGTGCCAGAAATGGCATCATATCTGCTTTTCCTGGAAACTAAATATTACTTCATTACAATTATGGTTATATCCTACTAATACATGTAATACAGCTATAGGAAACAACAAATCAAAGTTCAGAACAATGTACTACATAGGATCTTGGCATTTTAATAGAGAAAAAACATTAATATTAATCTCTCTGCGGCTGTGATGAACAAACATGGATGTTGAGATGAGAAACTATTATAGGGGCTATAACTTTGTGCACTAGTATTCAACTAAGAAATAATTTGAAGTACAGTACACTTATATCTTTAAATGTATTAAAATCTGGGCACATGGCATAGTATAGTTCCCTCATTCTGTGCTGTGCTGCGTTACTTTGATGCATGATGCAGTGGCGGATCCAGGGTGAGGCGGGCATGGGGAAAAATTGACAGTAAAAATTGTGCCACGAAAATTGGGCCCTTTTTGGCCTTAATGTGGTTTTGTGCCTCAATTAATGGGCCTTTTTGGGCATTAATAGGCCTTTTGATTTGGGCCCCCTTGTTAATTCCTGGATCCACCACTGTGATGTACATGACAAATAATAAATTACCTGGTACTTTTTGTTTTCTGATCCAGGGTTGAAAATAACTCATTGCTCTTGCCTCGTCTTCTCTATCCCAGAAATTGTATCCTAGATAAATTAGATTGATGAGAAACATGACAATTGGTGGAAAAACACTATGATAATATACACTTTCAATATATTATACCTAGAGTGACTGAGTTTTCACATCAATTGTAGCATAGATTTTAATGCTGTGTTCTTATAAACTTATTTTTATGGCAGTAAGAGTCAAGGTTCGGGATTTTTTTCTCTATGCTTGAAGCTGGTATAAGCAAATCAAATAAACACTGAATTTGTTCATTGAGGTAATTTTGAAATTATGAAAGTGCAGAGCTTACTTGGTGATTTGGCAATCCTCCTCAATTTTGATGGGGATGGAAGAGGAGGCATCAAGAGGTAACATGCTCCTGGTGGCATCACACTTGATTCTAAAATTGGGTTAAAATCAAAAGTCTATGTGTACGGTTTTAGATAAGTTAACTGATATGAAAGGCTATACTTGTTTATTGGGTTGTTTAATTAAAATCCCTTTCATAAATTTTTTTAAAAATCTAGAATACTGTTGTATGCGTTCTGGTGATATGTATAAAGTTTCAAGCTTCATTCACAATTTTCACAATTAATTCCGCTATATTAAGATCTACTTCTTTATTTTTGGTTCATCTATACATCATTCAATTTCCTATAAGCTCACCAAATGGCAATCATACTGGTATTCACATAACAACATGAATTGCCAAATATGGCCATTGCACTTTTAAAGATATAATGTTGAGAACATTTTTTGTATTCAGGCATTTATAAGTCCTTTCCAAGAGGAAATAGTTGTAAGATGTACAATTTTCAGCCGCCTGTCATTAGAAATAGTGATGCAGCAAACAATTGAAGAGAGTGATGTAACTTATTTCAAAACAAATTCAATTAATCTTTTACTTGGGGTATGTTGAAACAAGTGCATTTTATAGGCCAGAGGGGTATTTGTGTGATGAATAAATGTGCCAAATAATTAGGAGGAATTCCTTAAAAAGACTAAGATGAGGAAAATACAGGATTTTCATTTTATTTGACCATTCTTTATTACATTAAATACTCTACTTACCTTCATCCAATTCAGTATCTGTCACTGATAGTGATGTCTTACAAGAACCTATAATTAGAGTTTAACCACTTTGACGTATACAATTCTACTTTCACCATTATTAGCTGCAGTGTCATACTCAGTTCATGTCACTATTGGTTTAGATCGCAATGTTATGTCGGCACTTGGTTTGGATAAATATGACTTGTCACACCATGGCATGGCTAAAAAGCTCTATAAGACATGTTGGAGGGCTGAATATTACTTTACTCAAATACTTATCAGCTTTTGCATATAGTAAATAATAAATAAAAAACAAGGCATTTACATTTTGATGCCAACATCCGCAACATATAACTACTAGGGTGTCTAGCGGCTTGTTTTTATAGTGTATATTACATAAGAATTATGAAATAAATAAATTGAATTGAATTGAAAATTGAATTGAATTACATGACAAAATGTCACCACCTGGCTGTCATGTTATGAGTTGACTGTAAAAGATGATAAAATGTAAACACTTATACTGTATTTAAGTTTTAGCAAGTTGAAAGAATTTGTTACAGACGCCGAAAGCTAACTACAGATTACTGTCCATGAAAAAGTTGGAGGCTATAACAGTATGTGACCACTTTAGAGGTGGTGGCATAATAATGAAAATTTCCTACTTGTGCTGTCAGCTTTCTGTAGGAAAGGGCTCACATATTTTAAGGGGCCAAGGGAGCGGTGGATTTGGGTGGGTCCTCCCTCCAAATTTAAAAAGATGAGATTTGATTGATTGCTTTTTAAGAGTAATGTAGATTAAATATATATTATTTATTATTTTTTGCGAACATCAATATATCTGCACTTTGATAATGATCAATGTCACGGTTCGTTGCACTTTGGTAATAACTATCACCACGATAGTTACAATCTGGTAATAATGATCACCACTATAGCTGCACTCTGATAATGGTGAATGTCAAGCTAAGCTGCACCCTCTGGTGATACAATAACTACGATAGCTGTACTCTGATAAGGGTGAATGCCAGGATTATTGTACTAAGAAAGAACAAATGTCACAATACAGTTACATTTGCTCTTGTACTCAGGTATTACTGAACATCACAAGTCACACTTAGATAAAGATGGACATCACACAATTGTACTTTGGGATGACGAACATCACACCACACCACGTGGACGTTGTTAGTGACTATGAAAACGACTTTACATTTGTAAGTCTATCCCACAAAAACTATAAATAAAAAAGACAATACTTCTTCTAAGTTGCTTTACAGGTTACAAAATGATTAAAAAATGATAGCAAGGAGAAGGAAAGTACAATCTTATATACATTGGTAACTAAGATAAAAACGTCATGTTTACCAAGAAAATATGATCTACCATATTATAAATAAGATAAATAAATAATATAGAACTTGAAACAAAGATAAATATATAAATACCTCGGTATGTGTACCATTGTGGCAATAGAAGGCCATGTGTAAATCACTCCTTACAGAACATCGCATGTACAGCACATAACGAGACGACACACAGGTTGCACAACAGATGAACATGATATTGAATGCAAATGTATTTACATGAGTGAACAGTGAGTGAAACCGTGAATGAAATGCTAAGGAAATGAAATTATGCCAAATGGTTTCTATACTAATGAATGCTACCTGTAGAGTATATTGAATGATAAAACTAGCGTTTGAGTGTAACTTTAACCATACTTGACAGTTATTTTAAGTGAGCTGAAACGAATTATACCCATCCCCCCCTAGATCCGCTATAGGATACACCTGCAGCAAGGGAAACGTCTTTTACCAGCCTGAGCAGTGGGAAAGTGAATGTTTTGTACCGAATACAAAAGTGTTCTGCATAAATATTCCGAAATAAGGATTTCAACAAGGATGTTGATTGCAGGAACAATGTCATTTGAAATCAAGATTGGCACTTACCCCTTTCCAGCAAGGTATGCTAGTTTAAACTGTCCAATGAGGTACTTCTCTCCATCATCCTTTACATGTTGGACACAATCATCAGACAGCCAAGTCACTACCATTGCATCTATCCATTCTTCATTTGTAAGCCGGGATCCCTCCTCACCGCGTCTAGCATTGAAAAGCGTGAGACGGGCTACAACAAGGGTACATAGCCACGCATATTGGCTGATGCTAAGATTCGCCATTGTTTGTTTCTGCTATTGCAGAGTCCACAAAAGATTTTAAAAGGTTTTGGCGTAGTAGCCCTTGAGAATCTTGACAGTTCTATGAAAAACATTGTTGAGATTCACTTTTAATCCAAACTTTTCACCTTTAGAACTTTTGCACAAACCCTCATTGGCAGCCTTTAATGTATCAATGTTCTTTTGTACATATCTTTGAATTTCTTTTCTCTCTCAATTCCATCATCACTTCACGCCGTACCTCCACAACTTTACTTTGTTCAGCGCTGAATAATGTGTTTTTTTACCTTTTGAATTCACAACATATCCGAGAGCCGTTACCATAACTATTCTCTGCTGACTCTGTAATCTGCTCATGGTTATCTCACATAAAATCAACGAACCAGAACACGGTTTATTGACGTTTAATGGTGTTACACTTCAAAACACAAATCAGCATAAACATCTTGGAATGTACTTTACACCAGATTTAAAATGGAATAATCATATAAATCAAACCATCACAAAAGCCAATAGGTTAATAAATTACATGACCAGACTGAAAAGTAAACTCCCTAGAAATACTCTTGACACCATCTATAAGTTATATATACGGCCCATTCTTGATTACGCGTGTTCTATTTATGACAACACCAGTGAACTTATGGCAGACAAACTCGAAAGAGTACAATATCGAGCTTCACTTTTAGTAACCAGCGGAATAAAGCTAACCAGTTACGTCAAATTATGTGGCGATCTGGGATGGCCAACTTTGAAACTAAGACGACGTTATTTTAAACTTCTTACCTTTTGTAAAATTGTTTATGGCAAATGCCCACATCATTACCGATCGCTGTTGCCAAATCGAGTTAATACTCGGACACAATATGCACTAAGATCTGCAAACTCGTTTGAGCTGGTAAAATTCAATACGAATTATTACAAAAATTCATTTATACCTTCAACAGCGCGTGCTTGGAACGACCTGCCTACACGGATAAAAGATGAAATCAACTTTACGAAATGTAAACTTGAACTATCCAAGTATATTTACGGAGAACTTAAAGGAAAGTATCTTATAAAATTATATAACATCGGAGATCGATTCTCAAATATCCAACACGCACGTATGAGACTCGGCCACACCCTTCTCAATTCCTATTTGTTCAAAATGGAGAAGGTAAATTCTCCAAACTGCTCGTGTGGAATCCAAAATGAAACAATCTTTCACTACCTACTGATATGTCCAAACTTTACAGATCAACGAAACGATATGCTTTATACATTAAATGATGTATGTGCTAACAATCCCGATATAAACCTAAACTCTCAAAATGTTATCAAAGACTTAATTCTCTTTGGGAACAAATTTTTAACAGTTGATGATAACGAACGTTTGATTTTGGCACTACACAAGTTCATAAAAAGTACTAAGAGATTAATTTTTTTGTGTAACTTGAGATGTCCTCTCTACCCAAGTACATTGTAATATGTTTGTTTTTTCTTTATTGTAACTGCATGTATTTGAATTCTGTATTTATATTTGTATCATGTAATTGAGAAGCATTTTAATTAGCAACTATGCTATTTTGCTAATCTGAATAAATATAGGATTATAATAAAAACAAAACAATCTGCTCAGTTGTATATGTAGGTTCATCAGGTCCACCTGAAATATGGAAATACAATTTCAAATTCTCTCTTCACTGCCTGATATGAAGAGTTGAGGTAGTGGTACGCTAATGCATGAGTTTTCAAACACCATATAGTAGCCTGGCCAGAACAAGTCATGCCTCTCTATTTTCTCAATAACTTTCTCAAATTTGAATATTTTTTCATGAAATTTTCACAGTATAAATTCCTAACATACAATTTTTTTATATGGTAAATGCCTCATTAATTTCATTGTTACAACCTTTAAAAAATAATGTCATATTCTGTTGATGGGTCATTTTTCTCGCCATTTTTTCTTAAAAGATACGAAAAATATAAATTACGTTTTGTCCTAATATGGTCTACAAATTTGATTGCAGTCTTTGATAGGGATCATTTATCTTTTTTTAGTGTTCTAAATCCACCATACTATTTCAAGACCTCATGATCTCAAGCCTCTATACTGCTCGTCCCATAAAAGGCATTACTACTCGCCTATTGTCATACTTGATGGAGATAAAAGATGTTTTCAAAGTTTACAACTTGTTTGGCCAGGAAAAGGTCTCCTTGTTTGTTTTACGGGCACGACTACGCCTCACTTGCTGGGCAGCAGGCTCAAATGTCCACCTCTTCACAAGTTGTGCTCCTGTGGCTCTTTCTTTGTACCATCCTTTGAATGCTGCGGGGTTAGTCTTCAACTTCTTGAGTGCATCGGAAACAGCTGTTTGCATTTCCTTAAAGCTCAGAGGTCCTACTTGATCTAGGTCTGTTGCACCAACAGGTCTCCAACGCTTGACGCTCTCTTGAATAATGGCTTGAGTCAGCTCAATTGAATTCAGCTCATGGCCTTTGGGTGGAAGCTTTACCTCAACGATACGGTAATCAGCCAGCTTGGATTTAATATTCTTGTTGTAGTGTTGCTTGGAAGGGTCTTTACATGTCCCTGCTCTACCAAGCCTATCCCACACTAGAAATGTGGAAGGCCGGAGAAGCTTGTAAACAAGTTTTCTCCCCAGATTAGGTGCATGCCGAGGAGGTTTAATGTTAGTCAGCATAAAATTTTCGATGACTGTAGCGACAGCAGAGCCTTCAACAACCCATACCTTGATGTATGTAGAGTGGCTTATAACAGACAGCATGGTGTACTTCTTGCACACATAGGGTTCACGGCCATAAAGTGGTTCAATACGCAAAACTCATCCATATTTCGGGAGTTTTCCTCTTGGTAATTAAGGTCATCTAGTTTCATCTTCTTTCTTTCAAGAGCATGTTTAAGTCCTTCTAAATACCCCATCTGCATATCTAAGACTCTGTCCAGGTTTAATTTAGATGTGCTAAGATTGTGTCCCTTTAGCTTGAATGTAGAGTTGGGTGAATTACGTTCATACAAGTGTCTTCTGATGGTTCTTTTTGAGACAATGATACCTTCATTTTCTTTCATTTCTACACATAGTTTTGATGTACTGGCATATTTATCTTTCTTTGCCAAGGCTATTAAAGTCTTTTCTGCAGTGGATTTAGGTGGTATGTGTCGAGACTGTCCTCCAGAACGTCGCTTGTTTTCTAATGTGCCCTTTTCTTCAAGCGAATTTAAGCAGGTGATAGGTCGTATTAAAATGAATGAATGTGGACAAGATGATTGTGCAGCAATAAAAGGTAAACCTGAAATTCATAAAGCAGTGAGATCTGACATGAGAAGATTTGGTACTCTTGTATTAACAGCAAGTTAGTGCTATTGAAGACTTATCACTAAATGACTTATTAAAAGTAGAAAAATATGATGACAGATACTATTTGAAACAGACACTGTGAGAAAAGCCAAATATAGTTTGTACTATAGCAAACTATTTTTTAGAATAACCCCCATATAGTTTGAATTTCACCTAAAATATGGGCGAGAATAGTTTCTCCCATATTCCTAAAAACGGAACACTTTAATATAAGTCCTGATATACTCTCCGGTACGCCCATATAAACTAAAATAAGTTGCATATATCATTGCAGAGTGTATATCTTTACTGAACTATTTCCCACTTATACGCCTGAAAGTAGGAATCAAACCTACTATATGCGGTGAAAAACAACTTATATTAAATAAAAACAGACTATATCAAACTATACTTGACTTATTCTTCTCTTATTCCACCTCAAAACAAACTATACGCGTCTTATACGCGATATTACGTAATAGCTTCAGTTCCCAAGTTTGTTGTTTTAACAGATTAAAAGCAAAGTCCAGCATTGAATGTATTTTGTTTTCAATGCTAATTAATTCGCTTGTTCAGATTAATCTGGTCATTTCTATAACTGAGGGTTCTAATTTCCATCAAAAAGTCATTTATCAATTAAGCTTTTTACTTTTACTAAATTGGACAATGACAGTCGAATTATAATTAACACCGTGTTAAATTTTGGATTCATTTCATTAAGTCTGTGGAAAGTTAAATTTTTCAATTCACTTGGTATTGAAGTAAAAATAATATAGAATAAAATGTTTAATATAGTTGCAATAAGAGGGAATCGTAGAGAATATTTTTTCCTGTATGGTAGGCAGTTATTTCCTGTATTATAGCGGAATAAGATATCATAACTATTTTTAAAAGTTAATTTTTCTTTAATAATATTGTTCGTGTATTATTTGAAGGGAACAATATATAATGCCATATAATATAGAATAATATTCTAGTCAGGAGCAAATAATATGTTGGCATTTGCAATCAAAACCGGATTATATGCGTTTATTTTTGAGCCGTTAATCCCTAAGTATTCCAATCCTATGAAATGAGTTTCATTCACACTAATTAATCCGTTTGTTAGGATTAATTTCTACAGCTGATGGTTCTTATTTCTCAAAAAAATATTTGCAAATTAAGTTTTTACATATTTATTTGATTTTATAATGTCCCTCGAGTTATGATTAAGATTGTGTTAAATTTGGGATTCAATCGATCAATCCATTGGAAAGTTAATTTTTTATTCTTAATTAATGAGTTTTCCTCACATTTTTTCTCTATTTTTGCTCTGTCACATCAGGTTTACAACAAACAACATTTAAATCCCCCTCTTACACAGGTACGATCAACCACCTGTACTATTCACTTTGCCAACCAAAAACAGTCATGACACGGAACTGCTCAATATTCAATTAATATATTACGCATTTTATACCTAAGGACCCCCTTCCCCTGGCCCACAATTCAAGAAATGCAGTTTTCGAACATTCACATACATGTATTGACATGTCAGAGCAATGTAATTAGTAAAACTTTAATCTCTAAGTATTCAATTTCTATGAATTGAGTTTTGATCACCCTGATAAATAATCTGTTTGTTAGAGTTAATGGATTAATTTCTACAGCCTATGGCTCTAATTTCCACAAAAAATACAAATTAAGTTTTTCATATTTTTTTGATTGTATAGTGTACCTCGTGCTATGATTAACATTGTGTTAAAATTTGGATTCAATCGATTAACTCATTGGGAAGTAATTTCTTGATTTTTAATTATGGGGTTTCCTCACAATTTAACTCCATTGTTTCTCTGTAACATTAAGTTTAATACAACAAACAACATTTAAAGCCCTCTCTTACACAGACACAAACAAACACCACTATTCACTTCGCAAACCACACAAAACGTTTATAACACAAAATTGCAAAAATATTCAGCTCAATACATTACGCATTTGATACAGGTCTGTGGCCCCCTTGCCAAGATTCTTTCAAAATCATACAGTTTTCACCAATCCGCGCACTGTCAAGTGATTTTTGGCAAACATTATCAATTTTGACCCCCTTGGTATGTTTTGAAAATTGACCCCCTGAGCTCAAACTTATTACGAGCCTTTAACATACCAGAAATATTGCTCAGATTTCATCTGACAAATCACTTATAATAAATTAGGAAATAACATGCGTTATGTAAATGATACAAGTAGTATTAAGCCATATTAAAACAAAGTTAAAATTTGCATTCTTTCACATTTCTCAATTCATGTGTTTGCTGTTATCCATATGATATCTGAGATAAACACCCGTGATAAACAACAGAGATTAGCCCGTGTAATACAATTGTTTCTATTAGAATTGGACCATTTCTGTTTATAACAGCTGGTTTTATTAATCATTCTTTGTTTTCCGTTTCAATATATACATATACAAAAGGCGCAAGATTCGGTATGTTTAGTCGATAATGTAATAATGCAAATAAAGAAACGGGCGCATTTTACATTTATTGCAAATGTTTCATCTGAGAAATTGATGATTATGTTTTGAGCAAATTGGTGAATGGAAGAACAAACTGATGCAAATAACATACAGTATGGACATACAGGTATGTCAGAGCAATATGATAAGTAAGACTTTAATCCCTAATTATTCAATTTCTATAAAATGAGTTTCGTTAACACTCTGATAACTAATCTGTTTGTTAGAGTCAATGGATTAATTTCCTACAGCCAACAATTCTAAGTTCCAGAAAATTTTTTTTTGCAAATTAAGTTTTTTATATTTATTTGATTGTATATTATCCCCCATGTTATGATTAACATTGTGTTAAAATCTGGATTCAATCGATCAATTCATTGGAAAGATAATTTTTTAATTCTTAATTAATAAGTTTTCCTCACATGTTTATTCTATTGTTTCTCTGTCACATCCCATCCCCCTCTTATATTACACAGGCACAACCACCTGTATTCACTTCGTCAGCCATAAAAACAGTCTTGACACAGAAATGCTCAATAGTCAGCTAAAAGATCAAGCAGTTTTTCACCATCTCGTACATGTATTGACATGTCAGAGCAATATAAATAAAACTTTAATCCCCAAGTATTTAATTTCTATGACATGAGTTTTGTTCACTGATAACTAATCCTTTTGTTATGAGTCAAAGGATTAATATCTACAGCCGATGGCTCTGATTTCCACAGAAAAATAATTTGCAAATTAAGTCTTTCTAATTTATTTGATTCTTTAGTGTCCCTCTTGCTATGATTAATATTGTGTTAAAATTTGGAATGAATCGATAAACTCATTGAAAAGTTAACTTTTTGATTTTTAATAAATGACTTTTCTTCACCTTTAATCCACAGTTATTACCCAAATGTTGAAAGAAACAGTGAAAGGTTAAACTAGGCTCATGAGTATGTTTCAATTTGAGGCATAGTATGTGATGTGCTCCAGGTACATCAGTATATTAAAAAGTTCAATTTGGCGCATTAGTATAGTTCAATTTGGCGCAATATTTATGATGTTCAAAGTACATTCTTACAGTGAAAGATTAAACTTGGCTCATGAGTATGTTTCAATTTGGGGCATAGTATGTCATGTGCTCCAAGTACATCAGTATTTCAAAAAGTTCAATTTGGCGCGTTAGTATAGATCAATTTGGCGCGCTTTTTATCATGTTCAAAGTTCATCCTTATATTGAAAGATTAAACTTGGCTTATGAGTATGTTTCAATTTGGGAATAGTCTGTGACATGCTCTTAGTTCATCAGTATATTAAAAAAAGTTCAATTTTGGCGCATTGGTATAGTTCAATTTGGCGCGTTATTTATTTTGTTCAAAATACATCATTATATTGAAAGGTTAAGCTTGGCTCATGAGTATGTTTCAAGACATAGTATGTTATATGCTCTAAGTTCGTCAGTATATTAAAAAGTTCAATTTGGCGCATTATCGTAGTTCAATTAGACCCGTTATTCATGATGCTCAAAGTACATCCTTACAATGAAAGGTTAAACTTGGCTCATGAGTATGTTTCAATGGGACATAGTATGTGATGTGCTCCAAGTTCATCAGTATATTAAAAAGTTCAATTTGGCGCATTATTATAGTTCAATTTGGCGCGTTATTTATGATGTTCAAAGTACATCCTTACATTGAAAGGTTAAACTTGCCTCATGAGTATGTTTCAATGGGACATAGTATGTGATGTGCTCCAAGTTCATCAGTGTATTAAAAAGTTCAATTTGGCGCATTATTATAGTTCAATTTGGCGCGTTATTTATGATGTTCAAAGTACATCCTTACATTGAAAGGTTAAACTTGGCTCATGAGTATGTTTCAATGGGACATAGTATGTGATGTGCTCCAAGTTCATCAGTTTATTAAAAAGTTCAATTTGGCGCATTATTGTAGTTAAATTTGGCGCATTATTTATGATGTTCAAAGTACATCCTTACATTGAAAGGCTAAACTTGGCTCATGAGTATGTTTCAATTTGGGACATAGTATGTGATGTGCTGTAAGTTCATCAGTATATTAAACAGTTCAATTTGGCGCATTAGTATAGTTCAATTTGGCGCATTATTTATGATGTTCAAAGTACATAATTATATTGAAAGGTTAAACTTGGCTCATGAGTATGTTTCAATTTGGCACATAGTATGTGATGTGCTCCAAGTACATCAGTATATTAAAAAGTTCAATTTGGCGCATTAGTATGGTTCAATTTGGCGCATTATTTATGATGTTCAAAGTACATCCTTACAATGAAAGGTTAAACTTGGCTCATGAGTATGTTTCAATTTGGGATGTAGTATGTGATGTGCTTCAAGTACATCAGTATATTAAAAAGTTCAATTTGGCGCATTAGTATCGTTCACATAGTATGTAATGTGCTCTAACTTCATCAATATATTAAAAAGCTCAATTTGGCACATTAGTATAGTTCAATTTGGCGCATTATTTATGATGTTCAAAGTACATCCTTACATTGAAAGGTTAAACTTGGCACACGAGTATGTTTCACTTTGGATTTTGGGACATAGTATGTGATGTGCTCAAACTTCATCAATATATTAAAAAGCTCAATTTGGCGCATTAGTGTAGTTCAATTTGGCGCATTATTTATGATGTTCAAAGTAAATCCTTACATTGAAAGGTTGAACTTGGCCCACGAGAGTATGTTTCAATTTTGGACATAGTATGTGTTGTGCTCAAATTTCATCAATATATTAAAAAGCTCAATTTGGCGCATTAGTGTAGTTCAATTTGGCGCAATTTTTATGATGTTCAAATTAAATCCTTACATTGAAAGGTTATTTTACTCTAAACGGAGAATAAATAATTTACTGATTTATATTTGAAATATACCCAAATTTTTCATTCCACTTTTTGTATTGACTTACATTTTTAAAATTCATTTAAAGTTCATTTAAAATCATATACTTCAACATCATAAAATTTTAAATGAGATCTCAGACAATAAGTTTGATCAAGCTTTCTTAAGTGAAATGCATGATTTTATTTGTTTACATAAGCGCTTAATTGAAAAATAAAATAGGATTAACTCCAAGCAAATTAAGGCACATCAAAGAATATATAGCCTCGCGTATAAGAGGCGTATAGTTTGTTTTTGGATTACGTAATACATACTATACTCATCTTTTCTATGTACTTATATCCTACTATTCCTAGCTCTTAAGAATAATCAGAGAATAGTTCAAACGATATTTAGTATCGTAGAGTATATACCACCAATACTAAATGTTCCGCTTCTGAGGCAAGAATAGTTTGTTTCCCATACCGAATACAATATAGTGAGGACATACTGAACTATATTCACAAATAGTTTGCCACTTATATGCTACTATATTTGGCTTTTTGCACAGTGAGATCCAATGTTTTTGTTGCCATAAAATAACACATAACATGTCGTATCGTTCAACATATTTATTAATCTTACAAAGCAGTTTAACATGTACAGTGATTTATTTGGTCAAAACAATGGGTCATTTAAGATGAATTTCATTTTTCATTTTGTAAGATGACTTCTCCCTATGTTAACAAAATGATTACTTATCCCATGGGCTTTCAATTGAAAGCATATTAGATAATGTAATAGAAAACAAGACACCTTAAAAATTGACACCTTTAAAATGATTGGTTCGAGACTAACTTTAATGAACTAATATTTGAAAACAGGTAGTATAATAATGAAATAGAATGAACTTTTACATGATACAATGATTATTTTAGTACGAGATGACTAATTCTATGTTAAGGAGAACAAAAAAAAAGGTTCTAGCCATATTTTGAACTTTTATTTAAAAACAGAACAGATAATATGAAATATAAATGAAATGTTACAATGGCATAAACAATATATATACAAAAAAGATACTATGATACATTTTATATTGTACAATATGACTCATTCGTTAGTAAAGAAGACCCCTTTAAATGATTGGTTCTAGCCATATTTTGAACTTTTATTTAAACAAAGATAATTCTCTAGTGAATGACGCACCTTCAATTTTACAATGATAATTTTACGATGATAGGTTTATTTCTATGTATGAAGTGTTGGGGCCCTGGTATGTGGTGAGGACCTAGGTCTAGGAGGTGTCACTAACCAACACAAGTTTTACAACTTTGCCTGAAACCAACTCAATTTGTCCAGTTTCTCCGGAAAAATGTACCTAAGTTGCCTGTTCACAACAACTTTAACATGTTTCCTTGCTGCACTGTCTCCATATAGTTTTCTCACAGCCTCAGTAAGGGCTGCCACCTTAGTTTGGTTCATTTTTCCCTTTGAATCAACACCAGCAGGGACTTTCCCAGTCATGTTACGATTTTTACATTCTCCAAGAGTGAATATGTGGTTAAAAATGTATCTTAACTCCATCCCTTACTTGCTTTCAAGTGGGAATTTATCTCTTGTATCCGCAATAATTGATGCATCTATTTCATAATCCATTGTGAAGGGCTGAGGAGTTTTTGATGAAATATAATCCAAATTAATGTTCCTTTGTTATTTGTCCATTATTTGTCAACAGTTGAGCTGGTGTACAGTTCCAAATATGGTTATTATCAAAAATGGGAGGTGAAGATGATGTTGCTGATGTTGCTGATCTGGAAGGCACTGGGGATCTGGTATGTTGGGCTCTGGTAGGTGATGAGGGTCTAGTTGGTTTGGTAGGTGTGGGGGCTCCATTACTAGATACATTAGTTGTTGGCTGAATTAGTCCTATAAGCTTATCAAACTTTTTGTGTAGGAGATTCAAAGACCCAATGACTTCAGGTAGTTTTGCAGTTGAAGGTAATAGAGCACTATCTGAAAGTAGAACATTTTACAAAATAGATTAAGTGAAGTCTAATACAGCGTTAGATAACAGAAACATTTCAACACATTTATTGCAGGACAGTGATGATTAACTTAATGTTATTCTCCAAAGAATCTGCACTAGATGAGTCAAAAAATAAACAAAAGAAATAGTACCACGGATACTGAGATCACATGGGAACATTTTGGTATTTGGAATATTTAATGTTAAGGATAATTTAAGGTTTTTTGCATATGAGATGTGGTTGATATACTAGCTTGGGTTAGCCTAAATTGAAAAATGGGTAAATGAGCTTGGATCAATAAATACAATGACGTTAGAAAAGAGAAATTGCACAAGGTAACTGGTCAACTCAACCCCAAGTCAACTCAACCCAAGTCAACTCAACCCAAGTCAACTCAACCCTTAGTCAAGTCGACCCTTAGTCAAGTCGACCCCAAGTCATATCGACCCTTAGTCAACTCGTGCCCAAGTCATCTCAACCCTTGGTCATCTCAACCCTTAGTCAACTCGACCCCACCATAAAAAACAAATAGATATACTATTTTCATGGTATGATATTGATGAATTTTGAAAGAAAGAGGGACTAAAATGCTAATTTTCCAAAATAAAATTATCAACTATTGAAGTTTGTGCTTAACGTAATTATAATTTTTATAAATAACAAAATAATATTTGATTAATCTTAATAGGACTATTCACGATGCTATACATATATTTATTTCACCCCTTCATATTTGAGCTTGTTTAATCTCTCTGAAATAAATAAATTATCTATACAATTTTCTGTTATACCGAAATTGTTGCAACAGTATTTTTGACAACAGGTAACTTATGCAACATGTGCATTGTGCCAACATCCATCTATTACTTTGTATTGAATGATTTTATATTTTGATAATGCTAATAAACAATATGGTCAGGTTCAAATCTTTCTTCTGATCTACAGGCGATAGAAATGTTTATTTTTTTGAAATAAGATTTTAAAACAAGACTGAACAAACAATGGGATTTATGTTTTTCTATTTTCCATTATCTTACTCATATGTCAGGTGTCATAAACAATCAGATTGGGATTTTATGATCCAGTTTTAATCTTCGTTTTGATCTATAGGTGACAGAAATTTTTTTTCTTTGAAGTTTGATTTCAAATCAAACTGCACAAACAATTGGATTATATTGTATTTTAATCTACTTAAAACAAGTAAAATCATTTGGGTCGACTTGACTAAGGGTTGGTAATCTTAATTTCAGAATCCAGAATGGTTTTGACATTTTTTATATTGTCATTTCTGTTAACTTACATAGCACCTTAAATTACAAATTAAAATGTGTGGCATGAAACACATTGATGAATTTGTTCATACAAACTGGAGAAAGTATATAATCTGGGTTCTCCACTTTCAATGAACACATTTTTTGTACTTTCTCCTGCATGTATGAACAAATATTTTGTGTCCATTCTCCAACATGCATTAGCAAATGATTTGTACTTTCTCCATTGTGCATGAACCAAAACGTTGTTCATTCTCTTCCGTGTTTTCAATATTTTGTTAATTAATCAATGTGTCAGAACGAATAAAATGTACCTAAACCAGTGAGTATGAACGAATTTAATTTACTACAATATCTATAATGTGTATGAAGAGACATTACGCTCCTTCTCCAGTATGGACATGTATATGAACCAACACGCCTGTGTACAAAATAGATTAAGTGAAGTCTAATACAGCGTTAGATAACAGAAACATTTCAACACATTTATTGCAGGACAGTGATGATTAACTTAATGTTATTCTCCAAAGAATCTGCACTAGATGAGTCAAAAAATAAACAAAAGAAATAGTACCACGGATACTGAGATCACATGGGAACATTTTGGTATTTGGAATATTTAATGTTAAGGATAATTTAAGGTTTTTTGCATATGAGATGTGGTTGATATACTAGCTTGGGTTAGCCTAAATTGAAAAATGGGTAAATGAGCTTGGATCAATAAATACAATGACGTTAGAAAAGAGAAATTTCACAAGCAGTGAAAGGTAGGGTAGTTTTATCTTATGTGTGACTTTTGTACCTGTTATTGTCAATCCATTTTCAGTCTGCTCTTCCTCTGTCTCATTTTCAGTCTGCTCTTCCTCTGTCTCATTTTCAGTCTGCTCTTCCTCTGTCTCATTTTCAGTCTGCTCTTCCTCTGTCTCATTTTCAGTCTGCTCTTCCTCTGTCTCATCTTCTTCCACTCTTTCACCCCTGATAAGGCCTGCTAGAGTACAAACAAATATCATGAATATTTACAGCTCTGGGTAATTTAATTACTCAAGCATTGATTTTTTTGTTGTTATGAATGATGTTTTACTGTAAGACTAAAACCTTTTCAATTGATTATCAAGAGGAAAAAATACAAGGACATAAACATGTACATGTCCCTGCAACTGCAAATGGGTATCTTACGAGGCCCGATCAGAAAGTAAGTAACCAACTGCTCTTATTTCTTCATACTTTATTCAATCACATTGACATTTTCACAGATGATGTAGAAAACATTAACCTATTAAACAAGACCAATGACAATGGGTTAGCGTCAATTCCATTATTATTGCTGTTGCTATGGTGACAATTGTTTGGGGTAGGCGGGGCACCCTGTTTTAAGTGTTGTCTGAAGATAATTTGTAGAGTCTTTCTACATGTTGTAGTACCTCCAAATATATCAAATTCACATATAAGACTACATTTTAACACATAGTCCTTCAAATTAATCGCCACCAAAGTCAATGCAGTTGAGGCAATGTTTCACTCTGTCCTTAAAGAAGTGCAACATGTCACCATTCAATGACTGCAAAACTGCCATTGAAAGCTTAAATGATGGCTTCATTGCCGACCAAACGGACTCTCCGTAACAACATCTTTTCATCTGGAAAGAATTCAGTCACATGGAGCCAGGTCTGTGGAATAGTGAGCCTGGGGTAGTTGTGTGACCATGGAAAAGGCTTAATCCACTGTATCTTCGGTAATGTTTGCTCTGTGGGGGTGGACCATTGACGTCATGTCAGTAAAATTCCCCTTCAGAAGCATTTGACTCAGACTGAAACTGAATCATGACTATCATTATGACAGATATACCCTGGATTTATTTGTGTCGATGACTTATAAATGGGAAAACGGAGCATACAGTAGTTACCATTGTGATAATACATAAAACAAATTATTCAGTCTTGTATAAAAATTGTTAGTTCATTTGGAGGAATACAGCATGTAGAAAAAGTACAAATCATCTTTCAAAGCCGCTTACAAAAGGGTGCCCCACCTACCCAAAACAATCATCACCATAGCAACAGCCATAACAATGGCATTGACGCTAACCCATTGTCCTTGGTCTTGTTTGATAGTTTAATATTTTCTACATCATATATGAAAATTTCAATGTGATTGAATGAAGTATGAAAAAATGAGAGCAGTTGGTTACTTACTTTCTGATCGGGCCTCGTATATATATTTTCATCCAAAATTATTACTTTGCCTTAATTTTTTTGTTTTATTAAGATGATTAACCTGAGCATGTACTTGACATCATAATGTAGATTTACCTTCACTATCAGTGTCACTATCATCACCCTGGAAGTCATACACATCTGTACTTCTTTCTTTCGGACCATAAATAGTTGGCATATCTATAATAAAAAATTGACAATATAAGACATGACATATTCCATTGAACATCTTAGCTTAGTATGTGGGAGAAATTAGTACCCAACTCCACAATATAAAACAGATGGTTTTCAATCAAATGGGGTGCTTTTGTTAGGAAATGATTTATCTTTAAAATGATATATAATATATTGCAAGGTGTATCATATGATATTCATCCTTAAACTTGGGTTTTCTTTTTTGGCCCATCCTGTAGATGTATGCATGTCATTATTTATCCTATTTACACCTGGTGGCTTATTGTATACATGTAGGTCATCCAAAGTCAACTATAATATCGTTACATAAGTACAAGTAGATAAGTGCAAAATCTGAACAATCTGTTAAATCATTAAAAAAACATGAAATACCTAGGTAGTTTTTTTTTAAATATAACCAGATTTGAATTAAATTAAAACTAGATTAATAGTAGATTTATTTGGTATAAAGGGCCAGACAGGTAATGAGAAATACAAGGCATTAACATGACAAAATGTCATCACTTTGTTGCTCACAATATTATTAGTCCAGTCTTAAGTCAGATTTGTTTTGTTGAAAACTCTGTAGAAAGTTGAAAATACCTTTTTTACTCTGAGAAGGTCGTTCAACGTGGAATGTCAAATCTAAAGTCAGAATTGAACTTTTGATAATGTGTTTTTGACCTTGAGAATGTCATTGAAGATCAAATCTAGTCAGAACTTGTACACTGGCATGTAGCGATATTGATATTGATTCTACAATTAAAATTTTACCTGATAAAGCTTTTATATCCGGGCACTTACACTGAACTGAAAATAAAATCGTCTGCACGTGTATGTGTTGGCTTCCATGTTACTTCATACCTGTCAAGTAAATAAAATAAAAATCAGGATTTTTTGAAGAAAAATCGGGAGAAAATCTGGATTTCTATAAAAAATTGGGAGAAAATCTGGATTTTTAGGATAGTCTGGACTAATCAGGAGTTAACAAGAAAAATTTGGGTTTACAAGAATAATCAGAAGAAAATCGGGATTGATTAGGATAATCGGGAGTTTAAAATGAAAATCGGGAGGAAATCGGGGTTTACAAAAATAATCAGGAGAAAATCGGGAGTTTAAAATAAAAATCGGGAGGAAATCGGGGTTAACATAGGTAACTTGATGAATTCGTTTTGCGTTTGGGTCTTTTGCTATCTTTGTTTATTAATATATCCATGATATATCATCTGTATTAAACCAAGTAACACTTCCACACTACCCTACCACGTGACCACGTTACAGTTAAGTTGCAAATGGAGGACGTGGGTTTCATTCCATATTTCTGAACGTAAAATACATTTTACACTTATTTCTAGTGTTCTACCAGACATAAAAAAGATTCATCAAGCAGTTTGTAGAATATTGTTGGCAAAAAAACATATAGGCAAAGATAGAGAATATTGGAGCAGTGAAGCAAAACTCGAAAGCAATACAAGATACATTTCAGTAAAACTATTAATGTACAGGGAGCATGTATGTTTCACTTCGAAAATGTTACTTATTTTGACATTGATATGTAACAAAAACAAAAAGTTAACTGTTATTTAAACTGCCTGTCATTGTTATATGTAGATACATTTTCTAGTATGTTATTCAACTGTATTTTTTGTGAATTAATTGTTTTTCTAAAATCTTAAGATAAATAAAAAAAAGTTGTCCCAGATATGTATATTTACTTTGCCGTTAGACAGAACACAATTGTGAAACATTTTTCCTCTTGTCACAAAGAGGATTATAAAAAATATTTTGCAATGTGTGAATAAAGCCAAACACTAAATACATCGTGGAATGACAATTTCAGGCGTTATTTCCTAAAATTAACTAATCAATTAATTTTGGAAAGCAACACCTTCAAAGAATGGTCAGTCCACATTGCACTGAGTAATCTAAGGACTTACATTCCAAATTGTACTATGATACCTGATGCAAAAATCATTAGAACAATTGATTTACTGGTCTATAATCATTATAGATAGATGTTAAATAACAGGTTTTACTGTACATGTATTAAAATGCATTGTGTCTTGTGTGCTCAACAAATATTGCCACAATATACATGTATGTGGGAACAAATTAATTTAAATAATAAACTAGATAAAAGCAACGCAAAAGCGTAGCGAATCCCATCGAACGTCCATTGCTGCCACTTTTACAAAATCCTTCTACTACTTTTTCAGTTATAGCACCTCATAACTTTTTTGTGGTCCAAAGGGTGTTCCACTTACACAGGCTCTACTGTATTTACATTTCTAACTTTATTAAGGTCCTGTATAACTTTATACATTTAAAAACATTGCTATTACATTTTACATATTGTACGCAAAGTACTGTAAAATAGGCACTAAAATGGCCATTATTTTTATTAGGCACATGTGTACAAAATATGAATAAAATCAGGCCAACAGTATTTGAGTTGCCACCAAGACTGATGGATCATATATAACGCCATTAATCATAGAATCTCTGTATTGTGTAGAATCTACCAGTGTAACCATCTTTTAAAAAAGCTTTCATTTAAAAGTAATGCGTTTTGTTGTTTGTAAATGAAAATCTGTTCACGTAAAACACACGTCCATTGGGTTGTCTTAAATTGTGCTCAAGGGCTTTTCTATTCTCCAAGAGCTCATGCTGCTCCTGGCGCATCAATCGATCATGGTTGTTCACCTTACATGTATTGATATCACAAGCACAAATTACATCAACTTTTGACATCTCAAGGATGTCATGCAACAAGATAGTAGTGAGAGGTCCTAACTTCAATGATTCACTTTTTAGAGTGTTGTTGCGTCCAACAAATATAGTATTGAACACGGATATTGCTCTCTGCCCTTCATATTGGATTCCGCAGGAGAAGACCTGGAATAAGAAATTTTGCTGTTATGGATGTGTCTATTTACATGTACAGTACATTTACATGTACAGTAAAACCTGTAAGGAAATGCCCTTGAGTTGTATCATGTATATTTGTAGATTTTTCCTTTTTTTTTCTTTTGAAAACTTTTCATTATTAATAGAGATGCATTTCTTACATTAGTTGTTATTTTATTTTAGATATATGGAATCACATTTCAGTATCATCATGTACGGTAATTTGAACAATGATCTGTGACTAAATTGTTATTGAGACATGTAAATTCTTGAGAACTGAGGACATTTTCAAAAATATCTGATTTATCTTGAGTTACCTTTAGTTCCCCATCTATGCAGATACCATCACCTTCTTTTACCCTTCATATTGGATTCCGCAGGAGAAGACCTGGAATAAGAAATTTTGCTGTTATGGATGTGTCTATTTACATGTACAGTACATTTACATGTACAGTAAAACCTGTAAGGAAATGCCCTTGAGTTGTATCATGTATATTTGTAGATTTTTCCTTTTTTTTTCTTTTGAAAACTTTTCATTATTATTAGAGATGCATTTCTTACATTAGTTGTTATTTTATTTTAGATATATGGAATCACATTTCAGTATCATCATGTACGGTAATTTGAACAATGATCTGTGACTAAATTGTTATTGAGACATGTAAATTCTTGAGAACTGAGGACATTTTCAAAAATATCTGATTTATCTTGAGTTACCTTTAGTTCCCCATCTATGCAGATACCATCACCTTCTTTTACCCGGATATCTGCATTCTTCATTGATCTGAATGTTTTCTTTCCTTCCTGTAAAATTTATGTGAGAAAATAAAAATAATGATTGCTATTGAAGGTGTGTATAATCTGAAGTACATATGATGTTGGAATAATTTCATTCTCAATATTTATCCTTCACGTTCAGACATTGTTTATCTGAACAGAACAAGTGCAAAGAAATCTATAATGTGTTGTATGATAACCACCATTGATACAATCCGCATCAGTGCAATAAAGGTTTTTCCATACATATTCATGTGATATCAGGGCTGGATCATTTTACATTGGTTAATATTCCAAGTTTTTCTCATTTGCCAATTGATCAGTGTTCACTTGAAAGTAAAAGTGGCAAGGTGGATGCTATTTTTAATAATAGGCAGAAATGTTTAACTATGGGACATACAGAACAGTTCTGTGATTGATTGACGTATATCAACTGGATACCTAACAGCCGTTTGACCTACTTTCGGTCTGTGTTTCGGTCACGTGACTAGCCTCTATTTGAATCAAAATCAGAGCCTCGTAATCAAACGTATCCCCCTGGGGAAGACTCAGACGTCATTGCTAAAGATGACGTCATTGTGCGCAATTTATATGCGCATTGAACAACATCCGGGCTTCCTTCTGTTGTTAAAATGGCGTCAAATGATTTTCTCTTTTCAGAAGACTTGGATTGCGTTTTGGACATTTTAGAATTAGATCTTGACGAAGCTGATGAAGTTGACGAAGTTGCGATGATTCGAGGCAAACAGGGAACAAAGAAAAAGACATCAACTCAGGGAGCAAAAAAGAGAAATACACTTATAGGTAGATATGATTTTAATTTAAATTAAATTTAGCCTTACAGATTTAGCCTAGACTAGGCGCCCTATCTGTATTTTACAAGTGACCAACAGACCCAGATGGCCTCTTGTACAGGGTGACCAGAAATAAATGTGTCCCAATTTTAAGTAAATTTTACTCCAGTTTTTAGGCACTACCACTGGTTACCCCCATAAATGTGGGGATCTTAATTGGGGTTTGTACTTGGAAGTCAAGATTCTATTACGAGTTTACGTCCACTACGCATTTCCGGAAGTGAATTGGATTTCAACTAATTCAATGAACGCGGAAGTTGACTCGTCAAATTAAATTAACAAATTTGAGGAGACGATACACGTTTCATGGATAAGGGGGTATTCAGTTTACTGAAAAATGAGCAATGTTTTGAATAAAAGTCAGTAATTGAAAAAATATCAACATTTGAGATTGAATAGAGTCGTCGAACTGAAGCCATTTTTACGACAAAAATGGAGGTTTTGGGTCGAACGACATCACAGCGAATGTTCTTACCTGTCTAGATCGAAAGAGCATCCAAATTTTTGTCTAAATTGATAAGATTGTTGCATTCCGTTATGTTGGTGTGAGGGATGAGGTTGACTTGTATAGTGTTGTGTCATCTCTATCGGAGCTTTGTGTCATGAAACCAAACTTTTAGGTAGTTTTTCTTTGAAATAAGGCAATACAAAGAGGGTGGGAATGCTTCAAATATGCCTAATCCGTCCAGGAGAGGAGTAATTATTATTAGAACTATTGGTAGTGCCTAAAAACTGGAGTAAAACGTTGTTGAAAATTAAGGTGGATAACATTTCTTTCTGGTAACCCTGTAGAAGACCCCCACCTGTACTAGACCCCCACTTGTAAAATACCGATAACCTTATTTTTGGGAAAAACAAGAAAATTCTCTCAAAGTTATTATTTTAGGAAAAACAAGAAAATTCCTTGAAATTATTGAAAATATGTTTTAGGTAATAAAGTGTGGGGCTGCCTTGTAAACAGAGATGTGAGCCGATAACCGACAATAAAAGACAATGTCTACAATCTGAATTGAAGTTGAAAGCCAATAACATTGTTGTATATTTTTGTCAGGCAATTATTATTCAATAGTGTCTGCAATTATATGCAATGATTGCAAGGGTTAAACAACAAGTAGATCTACTAGAAGAGGAACAAGAGGAAAATAACAAATGAATGCTGACTTTGGTACAATTTACATGACATGTAACTGTGAGGTGGTGACACCTTTTCTTATGAACTGGTCAGTATGAAGCGAAGGTAATGGCCATCACCTTCAAACTGAAAATGATATTTCTTGGATTTTGGTTTCATGACCGTTTCCATATCAAACATTTCCAGTTGTAATATGTACCTTTCCTTAAGCTTTGGAAGATATGGTTGAACTGTAGTGCCCATGCATGATACTAAACAAATGATTATACTTCAGAGATGTCATGTCATATAAGCCAGGTTTAGTTAAAATATCAAAGCATAACTCAAACTATAAAGTAGTTCAATTTGCTGAAAACTAAAAATATTGAAATCGACACTTTCCATTCGTCATCTTAAATGCGAAGGTGACTGCCATAACATTCGCTTGATACTGACCATTGATATTGAAAATCAGTGGGAAGGGTCTCTAAAGAACATTGTGAGAGTCAGCTTGAACTCAAGTTAATTGAGAGAGTCAGCTTGAACTCAAGTTAATTGAGAGAGTCAGCTAGACTCAAATTTAAGCTCGAAAGAACATTGTGAGAGTCAGCTTGAACTCTTGCATTTGATCCCTTAAAACAATGTATATGATTGTAAGTGTCAGTTCCGATTCGTAACTAGTAATAAATGTGACATTGGAATAATGTTTCACTGACCTATTATTATTTTGTTGATATAAAGAATATCAGCTGAAAAAATGATCTTAAAGGTAGCGTTTATGTGAAAATGCTTTTAAAATAAAGTTATTCTTTAAAACAGCCTTGTAACAAGTAATGGGGGACACACTTGTTTTGTTTTAAAAAATTGCTTTCTTGGGACTCACCTAATGCAACTGTTGGATTCAAACCTGTACTCATAATGTAATATTCCCTTTTATACCATGGTCAGATCAATATCAGGTATATAATAGAAAGTGAGAAATCACATATTTGGGACAGGGATGATATCAGGATTAGTCATACGGGGTAAATTAAAAACATTCTACTTTTTTTTTAATTTTTTGGTTTAAAAATAAGTTTATCACTTAACTTAATAGTTTAAATTCTAGCCTTAATGGTACATACAAACTGAGATTAATTAGGGAAATTTTAATGAAATGGTGCTTAATTTTTTGTAAAAATACTTTAAATTATAACACAAAACATCTGTTGCATGAGAATAATTTCTAGATAAGACACATTTAATTTATTTCATTTATGTTAATTCACATAAAATTTCATTTACCAGTTTACAAAATCAAACTTGAAAATATATTACATACAGGGTGATCCAGAAGTCAAAAGTGTTGCCATTTCTACATTATTTGACTAATCATCTTGAAACTTGGTACAGATGTTCTTCAAACATTATTGAGTCAACATATCAAATATAAAGGTTCTACTGTTTGATTGCTTCATTTCACGGTTACTATAGTAACCCGATGTGACGTCACACATTTAATTTTGTGAAAGAAATAGAACTCTTCTTGACTTTGGATATACTGATATCAATAATATTTCAAAATATTTTCATTTGTTTCATGTTGCAATTCAAACATCAATGTAGTATCACATATGATGTCAAACACACTATTTTAGTTGATTATCTATTTTTTGAGAAAGTAGTCAACCAAGCATCAAAATAGAAAATATACGACTGGGATGGATGAACAATTTTCACTGGATAACGCTCCAGCACACAAGATCATCTTGATAACCAGTATTAGTGGATGAGTAAGGACTGCCACAACTTGAGCATTCTCTATATTCCCCCAATTTTGCCCAAAGTGACCTTTACTCACATAATGAACTTAAATGGAAGCCAAGTGAAATCAGCTTTCAAACTTCAGATGAATTAACCCTTAAAGGTCTGAATTGTTTTATTCCAAATTTTTCACTTTCAGTGCATCAATTTTGTGGATTACATGTTCTAAAATGGTAAAAGTGCATTGTTTTGATGACAAAGTAGAGATTGAAATCTTTAAAATGATATCTTTTTCTTGAAAAAACACAACTGGGAAGATATTTTTCTACTTTTGGGAAAACAGCTATGGTCTTAAATTCTCCGGTTGATATATCAGCCAGCAGTCCTGTAAGAAAAAATAGTATGGGCTCATTCCAAAAAATAAGTTATCAAATGGATTTCGAGATCAGTTTACATAGTGTGTACTACCAAGGACTTTAATTCTCCAGGTCCATCGTACTATGATGAAAATACATTGCTAATTGTGGAATTTATGCAGGGTAATATGTATGCAATCACTGACCAATTAAATGTCAATGATTTCAATAAATTAAAGTGTTAAAAACTAACATTAATATTGCCTTTATAAATTTTCAATTCTATTTTCTGCTCAAACAAATACTTTGCCCCGGTTGACGTCACATCAGGTTACTATAGTTACCATAAAATCAACCAATCAAACAAAAGAATCTTTATATTTTAGATATACACTCAGTAATGTTTGGGAAAGATCTGAACCAAGTTTCACGAAGATTGCTCCAGTAGTATTGAAATAGCAACATCTTTGACGTTACTTCTGGATCACCCTGTAAAATGTGAACTATACAGCTGGCCACATGAAAAATGACATAAGTTGCTCAATAGCCTGTTGATCTCATTAAATGTATATCCTGGTCAATCATATAAGTATGACCAGTGATTGTTGAACATGGAATACAAGAATAGTTAATAATTTTATGAATATCTCAGGTTTTGATCTAACTGAGGCCACTTGACAAAAGCCACTAATATTGTTGTATATTTTTGATAGGCAGTTTTAATGAATACTGTCTACAATAATATAGGATGATTGCAAGGGTTACACAACAAGGTCACTTGATGACATTGGTTTTAAAAGAGGCATTTGTGTTCCTGTATTTTGTTTCCATTATAAATTATAGTGGCAACCTAGATCTCTCATACAAAAAATAATCTTCAGTATGTATCCATTTCAGTAAATCCTCTTCCAAGCTTAAAAGATCTTCAAAGTAAGGCAG